TATCACCTATTCACCATATCTATAGGTAAAGTGGGGAGGTAACTCTGTTGTGACGTATCACCTATTCACCATATCTATAGGTAAAATGGGGAGGTAACTCTGTTGTGACGTATCACCTATTCACCATATCTATAGGTAAAGTGGGGAGGTAACTCTGTTGTGACGTATCACCTATTCACCATATCTATAGGTAAAGTGGGGAGGTAACTCTGTTGTGACTTATCACCTATTCACCATATCTATAGGTAAAGTGGGGAGATAACTCTGTTGTGACTTATCACCTATTCACCATATCTACAGGTAAAGCGGGGTGATAACTCTGTTATGACTCATCACCTATTCACCATACATACAGGAAAAGAGGGGAGGTAGTACTGTTGTGAATTATCACCTATTCACCATACATACAGGTAAAGAGGGGAGGTAGTTCTGTTGTGACTTATCACCTGATCACCATATCTATAGGTAAAGTGGGGAGGTAACTCTGTTGTGACGTATCACCTATTCCCCATATCTATAGGTAAAGTGGAGAGGTAACTCTGCTGTGACGTATCACCTATTCACCATATCTATAGGTAAAGTGGACAGGTAACTCTGTTGTGACGTATCACCTATTAACCATATCTATAGGTAAAGTGGGGAGGTAACTCTATTGTGACATATCACCTATTCACCATATCTACAGGTAAAGTGGGGAGGTAACTCTGTTGTGACTTATCGCCTATTCACCATATCTATAGGTAAAGTGGGGGGGTAACTCTGTTGTGACTTATCACCTGTTCACCATATCTATAGGTAAAGTGGGGAGGGAACTCTGTTGTGACGTATCACCTATTCACCATATCTATAGGTAAACTCTGTTGTGACGTATCACCTATTCACCATATCTATAGGTAAACTCTGTTGTGACGTATCACCTATTCACCATATCTATAGGTAAACTCTGTTGTGACGTATCACCTATTCACCATATCTATAGGTAAAGAGGAGAGGTAACTCTGTTGTGACGTATCACCTATTAACCATATCTATAGGTAAAGTGGGGAGGTAACTCTGTTATGACTCATCACCTATTCACCGTACATACAGGTAAATAGGGGAGGTAACTCTGTTGTGACGTATCACCTATTAACCATATCTATAGGTAAAGTGGGGAGGTAACTCTATTGTGACATATCACCTATTCACCATATCTATAGGTAAACTCTGTTGTGACGTATCACCTATTCACCATATCTATAGGTAAAGCGGGGAGGTAACTCTGTTGTGACGTATCACCTATTCACCATATCTACAGGTAAAGTGGGGAGATAACTCTGTTGTGACGCATCACCTATTCACCATATCTACAGGTAAAGTGGAGAGATAACTCTGTTATGACTCATCACCTATTCACCGTACATACAGGTAAAGAGGGGAGGTAACTCTGTTATGACGTATCACCTATTCACCATATCTATAGGTAAAGAGGGGAGGTAACTCTGTTGTGACGTATCACCTATTAACCATATCTATAGGTAAAGTGGGGAGGTAACTCTTTTGTGACGTATCACCTATTCACCATATCTACAGGTAAAGATGGGAGATAACTCTTTTGACTCATCACCTATTCACCGTACATATAGGTAAAGCGGGGAGGTAACTCTGTTGTGACTTATCACCTATTCCCCATATCTATAGGTAAAGTGGGGAGGTAACTCTTTTGTGACGTATCACCTATTCACCATATCTACAGGTAAAGATGGGAGATAACTCTTTTGACTCATCACCTATTCACCATATCTACAGGTAAAGAGGGGAGATAACTCTTTTGACTCATCACCTATTCACCATATCTACAGGTAAAGATGGGAGATAACTCTTTTGACTCATCACCTATTCACCATATCTACAGGTAAAGAGGGGAGATAACTCTTTTGACTCATCACCTATTCACCGTACATATAGGTAAAGCGGGGAGGTAACTCTGTTGTGACTTATCACCTATTCCCCATATCTATAGGTAAAGTGGAGAGGTAACTCTGTTGTGACTTATCACCTATTCACCATATATACAAGTAAAGTGGGGAGGGAACTCTGTTATGACTCATCACCTATTCACCATATCTACAGGTAAAGATGGGAGATAACTCTTTTGACTCATCACCTATTCACCGTACATATAGGTAAAGCGGGGAGGTAACTCTGTTGTGACTTATCACCTGTTCACCATATCTATAGGTAAAGTGGGGAGGTAACTCTGCTGTGACTTATCACCTATTCACCATATCTACAGGTAAAGTGGAGAGATAACTCTGTTATGACTCATCACCTATTCACCGTACATACAGGTAAAGAGGGGAGGTAACTCTGTTATGACTTATCACCTATTCACAATATCTACAGGTAAAGAGGGGAGATAACTCTTTTGACTCATCACCTATTCACCGTACATATAGGTAAAGTGGGGAGGTAACTCTGTTGTGACCTATCACCTATTCCCCATATCTATAGGTAAAGTGGGGAGGTAACTCTGCTGTGACTTATCACCTATTCACCATATCTATAGGTAAAGCGGGGAGGTAACTCTGTTGTGACGTATCACCTATTCACCATATCTATAGGTAAACTCTGTTGTGACGTATCACCTATTCACCATATCTATAGGTAAAGCGGGGAGGTAACTCTGTTGTGACTTATCACCTATTCACCATATCTACAGGTAAAGAGGGGAGGTAACTCTGTTATGACGTATCACCTATTCACAATATCTACAGGTAAAGAGGGGAGATAACTCTGTTGTGACGCATCACCTATTCACCATATCTACAGGTAAAGAGGGGAGATAACTCTTTTGACTCATCACCTATTCACCATATCTACAGGTAAAGAGGGGAGATAACTGTTGTGAGGCATCACCTGTAGCTACAGAGGGAAGTTCTGTCAGGCTTCTATATTCATTGAGGTTATGAATGATTACCTGTTCTGCTAATCTAAACTTACAGAGGGGAGATAACACTGTATTATACCTTATGTTTGAAAAGAGAGCTGAGCTCTATGAGAAACCATTTGTAGGTCTTTGGTCTGAGTGAACAGTTCTCATGCAAGGGTGTCTTATCAAAGGTGTAATGACAACATTGGAAAGCATCAGGAGATATAAGCAGGCATATGGATAACATGACAGAAAGCGTGGTCAGGAGAAGTGCTGCACAGACAGACAGGTGTTTCACTTATTTTGTCTACAGACAACAACAGATTTTAATTAAATTCAGAAGGTAAATGTAAGTTATAATTATAAACAAGGAAATATAATTAAAACCAACAACCAAGTTATTAAAAATAAAAGATACTGCTACAGAAATATTATAAATATATTTTTATGTAAAGCAGTCATCTTCATTGCTGCTCGTAAAGAATAACAGCTGAACAAGTGTTTAGATGAGAAATGGGTCCGTTTATATTGGTAGGGTGTTACATGTTCACTAAAGCTGATAGCGTATTACGAGTCAGTGGATAATCCTTTTACAGTGAAGAAATGACAGTAACTAATTGTCCTTTCTATTCATGAAATTATTTTTCCCTTCTGATTGCTGAAGAAATTTTCTTCCATTAATGACTAAAATTAAAACAAGAACCTGACCATCAATTTTGAGCCAAGTTTGGATCAACTTAATTGTAGTATAGGTCTGACATACAATTCCATCTATTTCATTTAAAATTTGCTGAATTTCTTATATAAGCAGAAAGAGAATCTAGCCAAACTACACGAAAATTGATCAAAAATGTCTTTTCTATAGATATTTCTCAATACATTATAATGGTGCCAGCTGTTCTGACTTCTACCAAACTACAGACAGGGACACTCACTAGCCACCTACCGACAGATATAATAGATAAAGACTCAATAACCATACAATAAAAGCTTAAAACCATTTCACCACTGTAGACCGAAATGGACTCATCCATATCAATGCATGGTAGAGTCTATTAAAGTTACATAGGGGTGAAAGGGTTAAAAATAAATGCCCAACTTCTCCTCTTGGTGTGTTATTACAGATCACTGGTGACATACAAAGAGAAGTTGGAGATTTTATTTTAACATAATATTGTAATTTGAAGAGGATTACTGGAGACATATTGTCTGGTGTTGGATCGTACCTAATTCCTTCATTGAGTTACTGTCATACCCATCAACTGAATCCAACCGCAGTGGAAAACCTGAATTGTCATGCAAACAAAAAGCACATGGTAAAAAGGTGGTCAATGCATTCAAGGGAAGCTGCGAACGCAAGAGACATTAAAATATCAAAATGAGGAAATTTAATCTGATAAATTACATTAAGATGAGGAAATAATATCTTTATAAATCATAAATTTCATAAATAAACCAACAGAGGTTTTTCGATTTTTTTCAACTTAAGACATTTAAACCTTATCAAAATGTATGCAAAATAATGTGGTATATATTTTTTTATTTCATAATGTTACAGTAAATTATTTGTGCAGTGCTAGTTTAATTCTCATTACAGTTTTCCAACAAAACCTTCCCTATTATTAGTACAATAGCGTTATTCATTAACTAGAAGAACTGTAAGTGATTATAACACAGCAAAAAGACAGTGCACAAACTGGTAGATGTAAGTAAAACGTAAAACAAGAGGCCCATGGGCCTTAACGGTCACCTGAGTCTACAGTATTTTTTTTTTTTGTTGAAATATGTACCAATTTGAGTAAAAAATAGTATAATGTTAACTTAACTTTGTCAGGACCATGAGCTGATCATTCCTACAAAGTTTCAGTTCAATCAGCCTAGCAGAACTTGACTTTAAGTTTGAAATGTAAAATGTTAACGGACGACGGACGACGGACGACGGACGACGACGGACGAAAACGGATAGCAATAGGTCACTTGAGCTAAAGCTCAGGTGACCTAAAAACATCAACATTAACAATTAATTAAATAAAACACCTCCATGACAGTTCCCTATAGAAAGCCATTTCCTGATCTTTTATATGAAATGATATTTTACTTATGCCTGGTGTCAACCTATTACCAAACTGTGTTTCCCTTAAATTTACTGAAATAAGTGATATTTAGATCACAGGAATTTTTTAACATATTTCATAAAATTTTAAATTACCAGGTATGTTGTTATCTCCCATTGTTGTCAAGCATTCTGGAATGAAGAAGCTTGGTTTGAATTAGATCACAATTTTATATGTGAAAAATAAAAGTAATCTTTATTTTCTTTCTTGTAATAATATTAAATTTTGAAATGGTTAAACTTCAACCTTTTGAATTTTACAAAAGAAATATAATTTTGCAATGAGTTTTCCGAAAATCAGACTTCTGAAAATTTGTCAAAATATGATGAAAAGACACCACAACATAAAGAAATGTCATGGCTGTGCTGTGTTAATCACATGCAAGTATATCAAAGTGTAGGCCAGGCCTGACATATGTATATAGAAATGTAGGCTAGGCCTTTTGTATGTATAGAACTAGTTTTTCTTACATTTAGGTAGAACAGTATTTCAATGAAATCACCAACTAAATCCCATTATTTTCAAGTTATCCGGATATGAGATTTTATAAATCTGATACTGTAATGATGCTATAGGCTGGTGACACACTTGTGTTGAGGTTTCTGACAACTCCTGATACGAACTAAATCATCTCAGTTAACGACATACAGTGCTACATATATCAAATATGCTTATATTTAATGAGACGATATCATATATATTTCAGAATTTTTCAAAGATGCTTTCATTAAAAAGGTTTAGAAACACATTGTTTATACAATATGCATGATATATATATATTTCACAATGAAGCCATCATCTATTTTGATTATATTTTCAAATGAGCTTTGTTACATAAATATTGAACTGTAGAACCCTGAGCTATTAGCAATTTTGGAAAGCTAGAATTATTTCGGAACTTTCAAGAAATTCTTTTTCATTTCAGGTAAGTTGGTAAATTATGATAAATAGATTATTTTGGACAAATGTATTTAGACATATACACTTTATAATAACTATAGATGCATAATATAGATTACATTTATGAAAGTCTGTATCGGTGAACCTTTGTTGGTCTTGTATAATACCTGGTAATCAAAACATCTATTTGGTACTGGGCTGTAGGCATGTGTTCAAGCAGACAATGTGCTCCACTGTACATATTGGAAAGTAAATGTACTCGCAACAGTTTAAAGCAAGATACGGAAAAAAAAGGGAAAAAACAAACACATTGAGCTGTAAAGGGAGATAACTCTAGTAAATTGGCAAAGGGAGATAACTATTGCAGGTTTTGTACAGATCAGTTGCAAACTCTTACTGTTTATCATTACTGGTGCTATATGAAAGGGAAAGTACCCAACCAGTTGGTAATTTCATAAATATTTACAGGTAAGTTAAATTACATGTGTTTTTCTCTGTACTTTTGTATAGAAATGTCATGGTATAATGGAAGTGTATTACAAGGAGCAAACAGACTAAACAAAAGTGTACCCATAATGTATTTTATCTATTGATTATTTAGATATACTGTATGGAGGTAGATATTAGATTAAACAATAAAAGATAAGTAAATAACCACATTATAGAATGAATAACAAAATTATCTAGAAATCACCAACTTAACAAAATTAGGGATTTCACCATTCTTACACAACTTAATTGTCAAAAAAGACAAGTTTCTCTCAGACATTGTGAGATTTGTTGATGGGCTGTATGATGGAATATTCCCACCTCTATACATTTATTCTTTCTTAGGGAAAATGTCACTCAACACTTGATTATCTTAATTTGTTTATCTCAAAAATTTCAATTACCCCAAACAAATCAGCCTTCAGAAAGTCGACATGAAAATAGAATGTTTCAGTTTTGAAATTGCAATATTTTAAGGGAGACTTCCACTTTTAAGTCCTCATTTATTACTTATGATGTCATAAGAGTTCCCTTCATACTGTTTTTTTTTTTACTCAAAATAAATCAGATCAATTGTACAGATTAGCCCAAACCATGACATTTAGTCAGTTTCTCTTCTATGAATTTTGAAATTGCTGAAAGAAAACATACTTTTCAATCAAAACACCATTACCTATCCCTAGCCACCAACTCACACACACTCTGTCCATAACCAAAGCTGTCACCCCTAACACACTCCTCCAGCACCCTTCCCCGATCTTACAAACAGTGACTTAACGAGATCAAATAAACATGTTTATCTTTATCATGTTAATCTATTAGATAATAAATTCCAAAACTGAAATTAAAACAGGATTATAACCCAAATACACAAAATATTCATGATGTTAACTTGAAATTTATTTTTAATCCATTGGCAGAAAAGTTCATCAGAGCCCAACTCATATGAATAGCACAAGCTTAAGGAAGAGATTATGTCAAAGGACCGATTGAATCAGTAAAATTGTTTTTCATTTTTTTTTAAGGGGAGCAAATTGAATACCAGATTATATGCTTCGAGGAAAAAAACACTTTTTTGACAATGTGTAATCTATTTTGCTCACAACAAAACAAAAATGATTTGATATGTGTATTTGGGAATGGTCCGTTAGATAGTCACTGTTTACAAGTGTATATAGTAGGGAATGTCGTTACCATCTGTCGCTAGACCGCCGGTCAGGGCACTCAACTGGATCCAACCAGCTACGGTGAGACAAGAGGAAAGCTGTTATCATTTCTCCCTATTACACTGTATAACTATAACTGTACGGTGAGACAAGAGGAAAGCTGTTATCATTTCTCCCTATTATACTGCATAACTATAACTGTACGGAGAGACAAGAGGAAAGCTGTAATCATTTCTCCCTATAATACTGTATAACTACAACTGTACGGTGAGACAAGAAGCGGTTATCATTTCTCCCTATAATACTGTATAACTACAACTGTACGGTGAGACAAGAAGCGGTTATCATTTCTCCCTATTATACTGTATAACTATAACTGTACGGTGAGACAAGAGGAAAGCTGTTATCATTTCTCCCTATTATACTGTATAACTATAACTGTACGGTGAGACAAGAGGAAAGCTGTTATCATTTCTCCCTATTATACTGTATAACTATAACTGTACGGTGAGACAAGAGGAAAGCTGTTATCATTTCTCCCTATTATACTGTATAACTATAACTGTACGGTGAGACAAGAGGAAAGCTGTTATCATTTCTCCCTATTATACTGTATAACTATAACTGTACGGTGAGACAAGAGGAAAGCTGTTATCATTTCTCCCTATTATACTGTATAACTATAACTGTACGGTGAGACAAGAGGAAAGCTGTTATCATTTCTCCCTATTATACTGTATAACTATAACTGTACGGTGAGACAAGAGGAAAGCTGTTATCATTTCTCCCTATTATACTGTATAACTATAACTGTACGGTGAGACAAGAGGAAAGCTGTTATCATTTCTCCCTATTATACTGTATAACTATAACTGTACGGTGAGACAAGAGGAAAGCTGTTATCATTTCTCCCTATTATACTGTATAACTATAACTGTACGGTGAGACAAGAGGAAAGCTGTTATCATTTCTCCCTATTATACTGTATAACTATAACTGTACGGTGAGACAAGAGGAAAGCTGTTATCATTTCTCCCTATTATACTGTATAACTATAACTGTACGGTGAGACAAGAGGAAAGCTGTTATCATTTCTCCCTATTATACTGTATAACTATAACTGTACGGTGAGACAAGAGGAAAGCTGTTATCATTTCTCCCTATTATACTGTATAACTATAACTGTACGGTGAGACAAGAGGAAAGCTGTTATCATTTCTCCCTATTATACTGTATAACTATAACTGTACGGTGAGACAAGAGGAAAGCTGTTATCATTTCTCCCTATTATACTGTATAACTATAACTGTACGGTGAGACAAGAGGAAAGCTGTTATCATTTCTCCCTATTATACTGTATAACTATAACTGTACGGTGAGACAAGAGGAAAGCTGTTATCATTTCTCCCTATTATACTGTATAACTATAACTGTACGGTGAGACAAGAGGAAAGCTGTTATCATTTCTCCCTATTATACTGTATAACTATAACTGTACGGTGAGACAAGAGGAAAGCTGTTATCATTTCTCCCTATTATACTGTATAACTATAACTGTACGGTGAGACAAGAGGAAAGCTGTTATCATTTCTCCCTATTATACTGTATAACTATAACTGTACGGTGAGACAAGAGGAAAGCTGTTATCATTTCTCCCTATTATACTGTATAACTATAACTGTACGGTGAGACAAGAGGAAAGCTGTTATCATTTCTCCCTATTATACTGTATAACTATAACTGTACGGTGAGACAAGAGGAAAGCTGTTATCATTTCTCCCTATTATACTGTATAACTATAACTGTACGGTGAGACAAGAGGAAAGCTGTTATCATTTCTCCCTATTATACTGTATAACTATAACTGTACGGTGAGACAAGAGGAAAGCTGTTATCATTTCTCCCTATTATACTGTATAACTATAACTGTACGGTGAGACAAGAGGAAAGCTGTTATCATTTCTCCCTATTATACTGTATAACTATAACTGTACGGTGAGACAAGAGGAAAGCTGTTATCATTTCTCCCTATTATACTGTATAACTATAACTGTACGGTGAGACAAGAGGAAAGCTGTTATCATTTCTCCCTATTATACTGTATAACTATAACTGTACGGTGAGACAAGATGAAAACTGTTATCATTTCTCCCTATTACACTGTATAACTATAACTGTACGGTGAGACAAGAGGAAAACTGTTATCATTTCTCCCTATTATACTGTATAACTATAACTGTACAGTGAGACAAGATGAAAGCTGTTATCGTTTCTCCCTATTACACTGTATAACTATAACTGTACGGTGAGACAAGATGAAAACTGTTATCGTTTCTCCCTATTACACTGTATAACTATAACTGTACGGTGAGACAAGAAGAAAGCTGTCATCATTTCTCCCTATTATACTGTATAACTATAACTGTACTGTGAGACGAGAAGCGGTTATCATTTCTCCCTATTACACTGTATAACCATAACTGGTTACACTCGTAGGTAAACACTTTTGTTTCTGTTTCAGTCACAAAGATTTACACCAGAAACATTTGTATTTTACTACATCTCTGAATCCTTACTCTATTTGCTGTGCGCTCCTTTTGGTCATTCCAGCTCATGCAAAAAAATAATATCTTTAACAATATGATCACTGTTGGAAAAAAAATCTGCAAAATATTGACCCCTGCAAAAAAAGTTGTCACAGAGTGATTTCATGTTTATCCCGACTTAACGTCACTTCTACTGTCTGTACATAGTCCTCTGTGATTTCTGATTATACCCCAGGCTTTGTTAACCAGTGACACATGCAATATACAGGGAAATATACAAAGGAAAACATATCAGTTAACATACAACCATGACAGCCAATCAAAACAATAACCCAGACACGAGACTCAAACAGTTCTCACTAATCAACATCAACACAACTACATTACATACAGGTCAACTAAGACCAGTTACTACCATATAGTATTGGCTGCTTATTTTCCAGCGGGATTAATAATTTCATTAATTTTATAAATTCATTACATCAAACACCTTGAACATTTAGGTAGACAAGAGGCCCAAGGGCCTTAGCGGTCACCTGAGTTATATCATAGGTACTGGTAGCTTTATTTTATTGTTTAGATGTGATGTGGAAATCAGCATGTAAACTAAGTGAAATACAATACTTGTCATGTCATCAATGGATAAGAATTTGAAAATATTGGTAAATGTTCCCTTTGGGGCCCCGCCCTAGCCCCTGGGGAT